GAGACTTTCTGCTTGTTTTCTGGCTAATTGGTTAACGGGTAGTTAAAAATTAAATTTAAGTACTTTTGTGTTATATGCTCACAAACCCATTCTACCTTCTGGCCTCTAGGCCAGCACTTCAGAGGTGTACTTTTATTACTTTCTTTAGGACACAAGGAAGACATTGGAGAGACAGCACATTCCTTCTAATACTAAGGAAGGCTACTTTTGGAAAATGTACTTATAAAACGATGCATTTTCCTTATTCTTCTTCAGTAGCTTATTAGGGTCCATAGGATTAGTATCCTAAAGTGAAGAGTGCTAGATTTAGATCTGAAACATCTGGCATTGATAACTGACTGCTGTGTTCTAATTGTGTGATATTGGGCAAGTCACTTCATCTGTATGTAAAATGAAGTCATTGGCCTAAATGACCTTGGAAGTCTTTTCTAGCCCTAAATCTGTGTTTCCGTGATCCTCTGATCTCTGCCTACTTGTACAAAGGTAAACTACACAAATGAGAAAACTATCAAAATAAATCAGATATAAAATATTATGTACAATTCAACTCAACAAACATGGTAGGTGAGATTAAGCACCTATATGATCTGGCACCATGCTAGGCACTAGGAAGACAAAGCCAAATATGAAACATTCCAGCCCATAAAGAGCTTACATCCAACCTTAGGAAACAACATGTTGTTCCAGGCCTGTGCACGCTGGCCCCAAAGTTAGGGTCAAGATTTAATAAGATTGGGGGCAGCTAGGTGGCACAGCAGATTGAGCACCGGCCCTGAAGTCAAGAGGACCTGAGTTCAAATCTGGCCTCAGACCAAATACTGGACACTTACTAGCTGTGTGACCCTGGGCACGTCACTCAACCCCCGTTGCATAAAAAATAAAAATAGATAAATAAAAGTAAGATTTAGTGAGACTAAATCAAAGATACAGATAGAACAAAACAAACAAATGAAAATAAATAAACAAAAAAACCCTAAACAACCTAGATTATTTTTTACTATTATTTACTATTATTATTAATATACTATTATTATTTTACTAGATTATAAGGATAATGCAAACAATGATCACACAGTCTTACACATTTAATACTTGCATAATACATTGATGAGTGTAACTGGATCATTCCTAAATTACAAACCTAGAGGATCACTGCAAAATTAAAATAATAATGACAGCAATAATAATAACTAACATATAGTGCTTGCTATGTGCTAGACACCGTGCTGAACACTTTGTGGTTATCTTATTTTGTTCTCACAACCCTGGGAGGTAGGTGCTATTATTATCTCCATTATACAGATGAGGAAACTGAGGGAGAAAAAAGACACTAAATAACTTACCTAGAGTCCCATAGCTAGTGTCTGAGGCCAGATTTAAACTCAGTTCTTCCTGACTCCAGGCCCAGTGCTTTATCCACTGTGTCACCTAACTGCCCCAAATTATGAAAGATTAATGATATTCTCAACAATAATAGCCACATGAGAAAAAGGAGTGTGTTTGATTTTTCGCATTTGTTTAATCAAGTGGCTATCTTAATATATATATTATGTAAAGGGGATCAATTAGGAGAGGCAGTTAGTTAATTTGATAGGGTCTATGATCAATTTGGGAGGAAGCTAGGTGACTCAGTGGATAGAGCACTGGGCCTGGAGTCAGGAAAAACTGATTTTAAATTCCATCTCAGCTGCTTACTAGCTGTGTGACCCTGGGCAAGTCACTGAAGTTCTATTTGCCTCAATCCCCCAGAGAAGGAAATGGCAAACCACTTCAGTTTCTTTGTCAAGAAAACCCCATAGACAATATGGTCCACAGGGTCACAAAAAGTCAGACACAACTGAATGATGGAACAACAATAAAATGGTTAATTTAATGGTGTTACAAGATGCATTCCTTTCTCAGGAGTCAGGCAAGCAACTCCCCATAGAAACGTTGGCTATGTCCTTTGGTACCTTGCTGATAACATACATGGTTCCTGGATGGTTTTCAGTAACAGATGATGCAGGAGAAGAGATTCTTTTCAAAGGATCTATCTCTTTATGCCTCTGTACAATAGAACAACAGACTTTTCTCAGGTTTTTTTTTTTTTGGCCTTTCTTGGTGCTTTTCTTCTAGAGTGCCAGGGAGCACTCTTGGGAATTTTGGGCTTGAGAAGAGGGGAGAAGGAATTTTTCCCATTCCATTCCCTAGCAATCAGTGATAGACTTGAGGCAAAAGCACATGAGTTACCTGTGCTCATCCACAGCTTTCTAAGTACATGTCCCAATCTAGATACCTGAGAATGAGATTTCTCAGACTAAAAAATGGCAACAACTGAGACAATAATAAGAGGTCCTGTAGTAGAATGTGGAAGCATCAGAAATATTGGGCCATTTGGCCTGAAAGGGGTTTATAGATAGGGTTTCAAACCCCAACTTCCTGTGTAGAGGATGGGTACTTTTGATTTCCTAGGTAATGACAGCTCAGAATCTAGCCAGAAAAGGAAAATACCTTAGGCAGTATCAGTATTGAGGTTGCTTCATGAGCAGCCCCAAGTCAAAGAATGTAGAGACCTGGCTTCCTTGAGATTGAGAAGGGGATTTCCTGAACAACCTGCCTCTTGGACAAAGAAAAGGATCATTAACATGGCCCTCATGCTGGAGGCACAGTGAAGATGTGTGACTTGAGGACGCAAGGAATCTTGACCTTTCCACATTCTGCTAATCAGAGAGATTTATTCAAATATTGCCTGGCTGATGGAAAGGAGGTTGCCTGTGCAAGAGCCCCAAGTTTGTATTTGTCTTTCTAGGAGGCAAGAAGAATTCTAAACTGAAAAAAGCAGTTTAAGTCTTAAGGAGACTATGCATTGTTAGCCTATGAGAAACTGGGACCCACAGGAATGACAAGGGGCTGCCCCACTAGTGACTCCAAGTTCAGTTCCCTTCCAAGAGAAACTTAAGAGCTATGTGAGTGCCTCATGTGCTATATATAGCTACTTATGGGTTCCTGTTCATCCTTTGATTGCCTTATTTTCTTTCCCTGTATTTAAGATACTGTGAGTCCCTTGTATCCTTTGCATTTTCTGTGGGGTGAAATAAATACCATATCATACCTGACTTACATTTGTTACTTGACAGTTTGTAAGGGAGCAGTTGTTCACATTTAGGGAAACCTCGATATGAACTAAACTGGATTTTTCCAACTTGGGTCAACCCTTAAGACTAGACCTAGTCCATATAATAAACCCAGAGGGTGCAAGTCTCTGGGCTTCAGTTATGTCTGAATGGTTTCAAATATATCAAGAAACACTTGTTTTACCTGTTTGAGAGGCACTGTGGAGTAGTGGTTAGTGTGGATCAAGCCCTTCACCTGACACACGATAGTTATGAGCTATGGTTATGATCAAGTCACCTAACTTCTTAGCACTCCAAACTCTATATATCTATAGTAAACAGATGAATTGCCAGTCTGCAATGAAAAAGGGGGCTTTTATATAAGGAGTTTCTAATATCCATGAAATCAGAAGTGTAGTGCCCCCCCAAAAAAATAACATTTAGAATTTAGTGACACAAGGCAAACAGAAGATTGTCAAAACAGAAATTCTTTTGTTGGCATGGGTCAAGAATTGCAAACTTGCTTTTAAATTACTGGGTTTTTATTTTCTTAAATTAAAAAAAATTATATTTGGGGGAAATAATATTAATTGTTATTATAACTCTTTATTATATAAATTAATAACTCTCAATTGTATAAATGAAACTACCATTTGTTCACATCTCCATTTCTCTGTTTTGAACAAGATCAAATAGTAAGTGAAAGAGGTGAGGACCTTTGCTGATCATTTGCAGTTTTTCTCTGGGTTTCAGTGTAGATTGTCCTCAGAAACCCTCAAGTCTAAATCCTTTGTGTTTTGGTGTGAATTAAGACAACTGAATGCTACAGTGGAAAGAGTAGTAAATCTAATCAGTGGACATGGGTTCGAATCCTGTTTCTAATGTTTTGGGGAACTGAGTGGCCTCGGGCTGGAAAATGCTGTCCACATCCAAAGAAAGAACTATGGAAGTTGAATCACTATCACTTATTTTTACCTTCTGTTGAGTTCTGTTTCATCTTTCTGATGGTTCCTCCTATTGGTTTTAATTTTCACTTCACCAATGTGAAAATATGTTTAATGGGTATGTAAATGTAAAGCCTATATCAGATTGTGCACTGTCTTGGGGAGGGTGGGGGGGAGGAATGGGGAGAAAAATTTTCAACTCAAAAGCATATGGAAGTGATTGTTGGTAAATCAAAATAAATCAATAAAATTTTTAAAAAAGGTCATAACCTAAAAAAAAAATTTGAAAAAAATTTTTAAAAAAGAGAATAGGGTACAGGGGAACATCAGATAAAGTGTGACAAGCAGATTGGACTCAGACTCTGGAAATCGTCAGCTTAGGTTTAATTTTGAAGGTAATAACAAACCAATAAAAGGGTCTGCTTTGTTAAAAAAAAATGAGAGAGTGGGCTAGACAAGATAAGATGGCCTCTGAAATCTAATCTAGCTCATGGTTCTCTGAGTTTTTCTAACTTTTTTGAAGCAAGAAACTTCCTTTATTTCCATTAAGTTAATGAAGGCAGTGACAGTACAAAATTCTTGATTGGACTCACTCAGGAAAGACGAATAAGCTTCTGAGTATCTAAGGATTTCTGATATTAATTGCTAATATTGAAGAGATTTATATTTCTATTGTTCTAAGACAGGTTTAATTCTGATCACTCCTAAGTGCTCAGAAGACATTTTAATTTCAAGATCAGTTTTATCATTAATATTCAACATAAAATGGGACTCACAGTCAAACTGCTCCACAGTTTGGGGAAGCAATGTGGAAGCATTGCTTTTATTTGGGAACATGTTTTTTTCCCCAGCAGAAAAAAACTCCTCGGGGCAAGAGTTTTTTGTTTTGTATCCTCATCACCTAGTAGGCACTTCATTGTTTCATTGATTGGCCACTGATGTTCCTGATTTCTGTTCCCTGCAGTTCCATCAGCTGCTCCTGAAAATGTGTCTGTTGAGGCTGTAAGCTCCACTCAGATTTTATTGACATGGGCTTCTGTACCTGATCAAGACCAGAATGGACTCATACTGGGTTATAAGGTACAAATGTATACACTGTTTAAAAACAACAACAACAACAACTTGCTATTTGTGGGTTTTAAAGTTGCCATTTGTTTTAAATATGTTACATCAAACTAATTTCCCATTACTCCCTTACACAAACCGTCTTTTTCAGAGAGACTCTCATTTTTGCACACACCACGCAATCCCGCTTTCAAGTTTTTGTTCATTTTGTCCTGCCTTCCTAACATGGCCTTGCTTTCCTCTCCATGCGTCCAACAGATCTAAGTCCCAGGATCTTCGCATAGACTTTGATCAGGCCACATTGATCTCTTCCTTCACTGAACACCTATAGTTCTTAGCTCTAAATATAACCAGCACGGAATTAAATAGGCTTCTATTATTCTGTAATTGTCTTAAGTTTTCTCTTCAATCTAGACTGTAAGATCCTGGAAGGCAAGGACCATGTAATTTTTGTTTGTTTTTTTAATCCTTTATAAGACCAAGCATAGTCCAAGTATTTAAGTATTGTAGGTGATTGGCAAATGTGTAAAGCAAATTGTCCCACAGGGCCAGACCCTCCATGTCCTTCTGCTCAGGGTCTTAAAGGATATGTAGTAAGAGACTATTATTGTTTTCTTTTTTCCCCCCGACCTCAGCTTGAAAGTCTAGGTTAGCTTCTTTTAGAAGCCATATAAGGAAGCACTTTGGTTACATTGAGAGCTCTCCCATAGAGAAATAGGCCCCTCCAAAAAGTTGTCTACTCACTGATGAAATACAGATGACACATGAAACATGAGCATTTGTTGGGTATATTGTAGAAGGCATTCTAAAAACAAAATTCAGACATGGGTTGGACTAGATAACAACTGAGGATCTCTTTTAACCCAGAAATTCTCCAATTCTATGATTTATAGCTCTGTAATTCATCAATTTTTCCAAGGCCTTTTCTCAGTCCATTTTTATTTTCTAGGAAAAAGAATTGCCTGTTACCTGCTGTGTGCATCATGACTCCCTTTTATTATAGAAACAATTGATATTTGCATAGAACTTTACAGTTGGCAAAGCACTTTGGAAACCTTATCTCATTTGAATATTACAACAATCCTGAATGGTAGGGACTGGAAGTATCATTATCTCCATTTTATAGATGAGTACACTGAGAGAGGTTAAAGAATTTGGTCTTCCTGACTCCCAACTTCCATCATTCTGTCTACTATACCACTCTTCCACACTTCACTTGAGGGTTGTAAGATTTTTAGGGGAAGGATTATACCTGATATTTCTCTTAATAATAGCTAATATTAACAGCTAGCATTTATATAGTACTTTGAGGATTGCAAAGCACTTTACAAATATCTCATTTAATCCTCACAACAACCCACAGAGATAGGCCTTATTATTAGCCCAATTTTACAGAGGAAACTGAGGCAGAAAGAGGTTAAATGAGGAAATTCATTTAAACCCCAATCTCTCTGCTAACCTCCAGTCTCACCTCTTCAACTGCCTTTCAGGAATCTGCCTAGAAGACATCTTAGATTCAACATGTCCAAAATGTAACTCATTATCTTTCCCCCTAAACACTCCCCCTCTCCTACCTTCCCTGTTACTGCAGAGGGCAACGCTATCCTTCCCATCCCTCAGATTCACATCCTCGGAGTCATCCTATGTTCCTCAATATCTCTTACTGCTCTCCCATTTCCGATCTATTGCCAAGGCTTGTAGATTTCACCTTTGCAACGCCTCCTGAATACACCCCCTTCTCTCATCTAACGCTGCCATTATTCTGGTCCCGGTCCCATGACCTCACTATGGCAATAGCCTCCTACTGGGTCTTCCTGCCTTTCTCTCCTTCCATTTTCCCTCCGTTCCATCCTCCATTCAGCCACCAAAGTGATTTTCCTAAAGTGTAAGTCACTCTCCTATTCAATAAACTCCAATTTCTTCCTATTACCTGAAGGATCAAATATAAAATCCTCTGTTTGACATTAAAAGCCTTTCATTACCTAGCCCTTCTTGCCTTTCCTGTCTTCCTATACCTTAATCCCTGACATGTACTCTTTGATCTCGTGACACTAGCTTCCAGGCTGTTCCAAGAAACGAAACACCCCATCTCTCGGCTCCAGGCTTTTCTCTGGCTAGCCCCCATACCTGGAATGTTCTCCTTCCTCCTCCCCACCTACTGCCTTCTCTGGCTCTAAGTCTCAACCAAAATCCCATCTTTTGTAGGAAGCCTTTTCTAACCCCTCTTTATTAGAATGCCTTCCCTCTGTTCATTATTCCCTACTTACCCTATATATAGCTCGTTTGTATGTTTGCATATTGTCTCCCCCCTTAGACCATGAGCTCCTTGAGTGCATGAACTGTCTTTTGCCTCATTTTATATCCACAGTCCTTAGTACAGTGCCTGGCACACAGAAGGCTTTTAATAAATATTGATTGATTGAAACTGAGGCAGATAGTGACTTATGGAGTCTTACATCTAGTAAATATTTGAGACTGGATTTGAACTCGGGTTTTCCTGACTGCACATCCAGCACTGTATTAACTGCTCCACAATTGCACCCCGTCCCTCTTCTTTTCTGTCACCTCAGTATGGTGGGAGATACTCTTCCACAAAAGGTACTTGCATGTGGTATTTCTGGTTTAGAACTAGATCCTATTGACCTTATCCACACCATTTGTATTACAGATTTTGATTGTCCCCTGTCGAATCTTGACTCTCCAAATTGATCTTATATAGTTGTCTCCCATCCCAGGAATCACTCTACTTTTCATTCTTTTTACCTTTTGTAGATCTATTATTTCGTTGTTAAAATGTAGCAACACGGGCACCGTATTATAAGGGTAGAGGGAAGATAGTTTTATATAATGGGAAGATGACATTTTCTAGGTTACATTACTCTTTTTGATGATGTCCTGCATCTTGTTGGCCTTTTTTGTGGCTGTAGCAACATACTGTACTGACATCCTCAGGAAACCAACTGTGTTCTTAGTCCCAGATCCCTTTCTTGGGTTTTCACCAGTAGGTCACAGTCTTCCATTTAAACCAGTGACTCACTCACTGGTTCTAGAAGCCTTTTGAAGTAATGCAACATCATCTGGAAAGCCCAGAAACCAAAGATGGCTTACGAAGAAGTAAGTGAATGGTTTTCAGGTTACACTTGACTCATTTCACAAGGTCCCTTCTGATTAGCCATCATTCTCCAGGGGCATGAACAAAGTTGTCCCTTGGAATTGTATGAATGTGATGTACGTTGGGCCTTTCCTCAGAAGGCTGTATCCCTTTGTGGTCCAGGCTTTGTGTTGGGAGACACAATTTGTACCTCTCGAATTGAGTGCCACAACTCCCTCAAATAATGAACAGAAAGATAACTTTCCAAATTATGAACAACTATACTTCAAACTAAATGTTGCAATTTCACCAACACTGTCCTCTTCCCCCTACCAAATGCCGTCTTTAAAAACTAGAGCCATAAACCTCATGCACAGTTGCTTTTTGAAGAGAAATGCAGTCCTATCTTTGGCCTATATTTAAAAACAGTCCACATCATCCATGTTGGGGTTTGTGTACAGATGTATTACATTATAATAACTATTCCTGTTATGTTTGTCAATGCTTCAGATTCTATTCAAGGCCAAAAATTTGGACCCCGAACCCAAAACCCACATAGTGAGAGGGAACCACACACAGTCCGTTCTCCTGGCAGGTTTACGGAAATATGTGCTCTATGAGCTCCAGGTGCTGGCATTCACACGCATTGGAAATGGAGTCCCGAGCTCTCCTCCCATTTTAGAGCGAACGAAGGATGATGGTAAGTTTATGATTTGCACCTTTGCTTTCCCCATTCATTTTCCAAGTTTTCCTTTCTAATCAAAACAGTTTAGATTTTTGTTATTTTCAACTTAATTTTCAAACTAATTTTTTCCCCCTGTTGATGAAAACAAAACAAAGTTGTTTTTCAGTCACAGAGCATTTATATGGCCAATTTCAGCTTGGAGTGAATTTTTACAGCCTAATTATGAACCTATGCAGAATTTCAATCATAACGCTGCAATAGACAGTGCTGTGGTAAGGAGCAGTAAATGCTGGCTTGAGTTGGGACTATAAAAGATATAAAACTGGCATTCTATTTGGTGTCTATAGAAATACAGAAAAAAAAATCCGTTATTGACCTGTATGCTCAATCCTCCTGGTGTTTCTTCCGGTTCTCACTGTTTGCATTACCAGACATAATTAGAAGTTCCCATATACAGTTTGATGTGTTTGAAAGGCTTGGAGAAGTCCCCAGATTCCTGTATTAGCAGTACTGAATAACAAGCATGTCCTGACTGCTTTGTTTTTATGGAAGTTTAAATCATCAGTAAATATGTTTTTTCCGCTTTGCAGATGTCAAACACTTAAAGGTTAGCTCCTTTACATTTTCATTATTAAGTAGAGTATAATGAATATGTCAAGGGAAAAAATTATTGATCCTAATAAAAAAAAATCCACCTTGGGAATCAAAAGCTCCTAACAGAAATGAAATAACTGTAAATTTTCTTAAGCAACTTTATTGAAGTAATTAAGTTAGCTGCAAACATGTTCGCACTGCTGAGTGAAAGCTCTATTTTCTCCACCTTAGACTGAGATTGAGGCTACTGGGCTTTGCCCAGATAAAGAAGACAATAATCCTTAATTGTTTTGTTCGTTTTCCTGTAAGACAGGAGCTCAGGGACATGTGGGACCACTTTGTAGGAAGGAAAATGGGGGCAAGATCCTCGTTGTAAAACTCAGTAGGGAAAGAGTCTTTTGGATGCTGTGAACCAAAAGGAGATAGAGAAAATGTTGAAATTGTTCAAGTAGGAGTCAATTATAGTCGTTTCCTCCTAAAGTACACATTGGCAAATGACACAGATTGTTCTCTCTCCACACCCCCAACATAAACATGTTGTGTCTCCCTCTCTATTCAAATTTAATTAAAAATATCAGCCAGAATGATAACACAGGTGGGATTTATGCTACAGGCCGATTTCTGTGCCTATGCATTTTCAAATTAGTACCAACTTGTGAACCTGAGACAGAAGACTTGACTGCCAGTTGTCTCTGTTAATGTGCTCGTGGCCTCATTTGTGTACTTATTATGCTCAAACACAGGTGTTCCTAATGCATATGCGAAGTCAGAAAGGCTGGTCTAAGAGTAAACTTGTGAGAGAGGAGAAAGGGACATAGATACCCATAGCCATTTGAAGAGGCTGAAACAGACGTATTCCATTTAGTGTAACTAGATCCATGGGCCTTCTTTCCTACTATGTAATCAGATGTTGAGTTACCAGAATGAAATTTGATGATGGAATCATTCTTACACGGGTCACACAACTTATTTGCCTAATCATTCATGTAAATATATCTTACAAGGACTCTGACATCCTTGAGTCTTGGTGCCCTTGTACCACACAAAAGAGCTGAGATAGCCATCTGGGTCTAGTCAGCTCTCAATTAGCATGGATAATTGAAAATCACAGATGATATTTTTAAGAAATCATTTCAAAAGAGAATTTTAGCCTCTTCCACAAGGTCTTATAACTGGAAAGGCAAACATGGAGCTAGATTAAATGACCTGATTTTTTTTCCCTTTCCCTTCACCCCATATCCACTAGTGTAGATTAGAGGTCTAATCCACTCATGGGACTGTCAGGAAATATTAAACACGTTAAAGGGCATCGAGCAGGAGAGGTAAAGAAGAGAAGGAAGGAACCTGGATAATCTATAATCTGGAAAATCAGCCCCTGAGAAATCAAAACTTGACAATATGATCCCAATGACTTTGCTTTCAATGTGCTTTTAATTTTAGGAGTCCTTAATAATTGTGAAGCAGGTTCCAGTGGTTAACCTGTGTTTGTGTGCATTTCTCTATGTATATATAGCACTCTCCCCCCCCCCACTGCCCAGTAGAATGGGAACTGTCTGAGAGAAGGAACTATTTCATATTTTTTCTCCTGACATCTTCAGTTCCTAGTATAGTATCTGGCATACAGAAGGAGCTCAATAAGTGCTTACTGAATTCAATTGAATCTCCATTTTTCAAATAAGCTGACTGAGTGAGGTGCAGAAGGAATGGTGATTAGCCAAAGATAACATAGCAAATTAGCATCTAAATTTAGATTATTTAATTCTTTATTTCCATTTTGCATATGTATCAATCATCAATCAATAAACATTTAAGTGTCCACTATGTACCAGGCGCCATGTTGTGCTGGGGATCCAAAAAGAGGCAAAAGACAGTCCCTGCCCTCAAGGAGCTTACACTCTAATGGGATAACATGCAAATGAATACATACAAAGCAAGCTACATATAGGATAGTAGGAAATAATTAACAGAGGGAAGACACTAGAATTAAGAGGAGTTAGAAAGGGCTTCCTACAAAAGAGGGGATTTTAGTTGGGACTTAAAGGAAGCCAGAGAAGGCAGTAGGCAGGGAGGAGGAAGGAGTACATTCCAGGCATGGAGGATAGCCAGAGAAAAGCCTGGAGCTGACAGATGGAATGGCTTTCTGTAAAACGTAGGATTTATGTTTATGTTTGTATGCTGTGATTGATATAGTAATCTAACAAAGCTTTAAGTTTACTATTCATTCTATAAGTAATTGCATTCAAAACATTTATTAAATATATACTGTATACAGAGCACTGTGATAGACACTATGGGAGGTGCCAAGTTTAGATAAAACACATTCTCTGCCCTTATGGAACTCACATTTTAGTAGGAAAATGTGATACCTCTACAGATTTCTAGAATAGGTAATATGAGTGTATCTAACAATGTACCATACCCTATGCTAGGCACTATATTTCTTTGGTGTTTTAAGATTTAGATTCTATCATTTCAAATATATGCAAGATAAAATAAAGAAATTCCTCAGGCTTATACAGAGTAATGCCAAGTTACAGGCTACTACTCCCTTTATAGTCTAGCTGTGCTCCAAAAGCTTGTTGTCGTTTTTTTGTTGTTGTTGTTGTTGTTATTGTTGTTTGTTTGTTTTTGGTTTTTTGCAAGTCTGTTGTTGCTAATTTGGAATAAGTTTTCCTATGGAAACAGTTTCTTGCACCCTGGTTAGGTGACCAAGCCAGCCCACAGAAGACAGTCTGCCTCATAATGTACCTGAAAGATGCTATTAAGTGCACAAGATCTGGCTCATTGAAATGTCGGGTTTATTTCCTTCAGCTCCAGGGCCACCTGTAAGACTTGTGTTTCCTGAAGTGAGGCTGACCTCAGTGAGGATTGTGTGGCAACCACCAGAGGAACCAAATGGGATTATTCTGGGTAAGAGAGGGGACAATGAGTGAGTAATTTCTAGACATGGACAAATGTATGAAGAAGCTGGGCTTGAGAAAGACTGATAAAACCCACTGAAGACCTCCATTTGTAGGCCAAAGCTAAGAACTAAAAATCACAGCTGTGGCTATCTAGCTCTTCCCCCCATCCTTTTGTGGGATATGCTCTATCCCTTTTGTGGGATTTGTTTTCTATGAAATCAGACTTTCATTTTGTGGGCCCTCTAGGGCCTGTTTTCCTCCATGTATTCACTGTTCTCTATACCATACCACTGGTGCTACGGTCTGAAATTAACTTGCCATTCAGCTTTGAACTCAACATACAGTTGGGACCAGGCTTTGATAAGCAACTTGCTCATTTCTGACAGAAGATATATACTCAGTCTTGCTCTCCTAGTCTCAGCACCATCTGTGATCTTCCAGGAAGTATAGTACTTGTGCATTGTCTTTTTGGGATCTTTCTTAGGAGAATACTCTGTTGGAGCCCAGTGGATTCATTTGCTTTGGACTTTCCATCCAGGGAGGCAGTTTATGATGAGCCCTAAAGCTTCCACTCCCTAGAGATGGCTGCTTATATTAAAAATTAATAGTCCTTACTTGGAGACAAAACTTGTACTTGTCACGTTTCTATAAATACTGTATGAAAAGACTGTGATACCCTTTTCATTCTGATATTGTCCCTTCACTTGTAATCCCTGGAGTTGCGGAGTCTGGGCTATTTTGGAGGGGTGGGGGTAATTATAAAATCTCTGAGTTGGATGACCTTTTGACTCACAAGTTCTTGCTACTGGAATCTGAAATCAGTGGTTCTAGGAGTGGTTTGTTTAGGTGTGCATTGCCCTCAGAGCCTTCAGATAATTCATCTGACAGAGAGGCAGCAGGGGTCACTAAACATACGTGGGGAGTGTGACATATCCCCAGAGTTTCTTAAAGTAGGTAATTCTTTGCAATGTTTCACATGCTCCCAGAGATCTTTCCTGCAACTAGAGAAACCTTGCTTTGCCTTTACCCCTTCCCTCTGTGATTGTTCTCAACCCAGAAGGGACTATAGGAAAGGGTTGCCAGTTATGATGGAGAATAAGCATTGTGGCTCAATGGAAAGAGTGATGAGCTTCAGCTCACAGTGGGAATGTGATTTAATAAATCCTTAATAAAAGGATTTGTTCTGTAAAACTTGGACTCAGTCAAAAGGCTACACTCAAGAACCTAGAAGGCCATATGTAGCCTTGTGGCCACACGTTCTGCACACTTCTCTGGGCCTCAGTCTCTTCTACTGTAAATTGAGGGAGTTGAACTAAAATGAGGTCCTTCCCAGCTCCAGAGCTATGATCTTTTGACTACCAAAATTCTATTCTTTGCATCCATTCACAACTGAGACTATATTGTGGACTTAGGAAGGATCCCCACCCACTTTTCCTTTGGCTCATCCTTCCTCATCCAAGAACATTGTCTTTTCTTCCACTGGCTATTTATTTCAAGGTGACCACAGCTGTTACAAATCCCAGCAGGCAACTGTCCATAGATTATCATTTAGAAAGCTGAACCTATGGTTTTATCAGGATCTCCCTTTGGGAAAATTCCTCCACTGGTAGAGATCAACAACTCTTCTACAAAGTTTTAGAGGATCACCTGGGGCACTGAAAGAATTTAAATGATAAAAATATTTGACAGGAAATTATAATCAAATTAATACATTTTTACTGAGTACTTACTATGTCTTGTGCTATGGGCCATGTGAGATGGAGGATACTAAATTAATAAAATACACTGCATGCCTTCAAAGGGCATATAGTCTAATTTAGACAAGAAAAGCTAAATGGTAATATAGCTCCTCCCCAATCTACCATTCTTCAACTCCCACATATTATGTAAAACCTTTCCTAAGCACTCCAACCTGAAATCATCTGTCTGTGCTCAACTCCCCCTTCAGCAATTATAATCTGTACAATTCAGAGGACAATTAATCATGGCAAGCCTCATAACATCTCTTCCATCCTCATCTTGAATGATTATTTAAAGATTGAAGTATTATTATGTAAAGTTTCACATATTTCTGTATTATCCCTACAATTAAATTGGAAGCCCCTCCGGTGCAGGGATTCGATATTTTTCATCATCACCCTTTGTAACATTCTCAATGTGTTACACAGAGTAGGATCATGAATTCTGTACTAGCAGGGATGTTGGAGGTCATCTAGTCCAACCTTCTCATTCTATAAATAGGGAAATTGAGACTCAGAAAATGGGTTTTGTCCAAGATACTATAGATGGTAAGAGGCAGAGCCAAAGTTCAAATCCAGCTTCTCTGATTCTAATTCCCTCTCCACTACTTCATGTTGACAGTCAACTTCGCACTTATTTGTTGATTTGATTTTGTTATTCAGTTGAAATGGAACAGAGGACCTGTGAATGTGGTTAATGGAAGGTAAGACCAGTTTTAACCAGGATGCAGAAGACTTTGAATGCCAGATAAGGGCATTTTATCCTATAGGCAATGTGGATCTCCAGTAGGATTCTGAACCCAGAATGTATGCAAAAGGAGGGAACCACACATGCTCAGTGCTCCTGAGAGGATTGGCATGACACGCTGTATAAACTGTGGGGACTGCCTTTGAATACCACAGAGGCCTGCATATACAAAAAAGGCAAGAGAGAGAGCAAGAAGCGAAGATGAGATTGGTGTTTAAATGTTTTTAGCTTTCTAGCTCATCCCCATGGACCATGACAAAACAGGCAAAAAATAAATTAGCACCATAGCTATCTTCCCCACAGAAGACAGCACACATCTGAATTACTTTTATAGCAACGGCATTTAGTCATAATTGTAATAAACATTTCCGAGGTATTATAGCCAGCATACAAAATTGGAAATTGCTGATAGAAATATGTAAAAACAGTTTCAAAAGGTGTAAGACAACCGTACACAGAGAAAAGAAAACATCTTTTTTGCAAGACTAACTTTAGCTCCAGAGATCTTCAATCAATGTTCCTGCTCTTATAGCTTGGCCTTCTGAGTCTACAAGCACCTTGGCAGCTAGTGTTTTTGTAATCTATATCAAAACATGTTCTTGCATTTCAAAAAGAGATTAACAGCATGAAACACACCAGCAGAAGCCTACAGGGAGAATCACTTGCTTATTTGTTTAAATATTTTACTATGGAGAGCTTTTAGCATTTAGAGCCTTCCTTTGGGGAATGCAGTAGTAACCACTGGAATATGGCTGTCTCTTCCCCATACTCACCAACGTACTACACATGTTTAACTGCTATTAAACTAAAGTGATACTTCACTAGGAATCTGTGTTCAAGCTCCTAAGTGTATTCCCTGACTAGGCCTGCCAGGTTCTGCACCCTTCCATTCCCTAGTTAGCATTCCTCCTGGCCTTCACGTGTCTAACGTTTACCTGAAGCTTATTACAAAAGTGTGCGTGAGAACTCCTCTGAGAATGAAGAACTAAATTGAATGTAATCCATGTTTGCAAATTCATATTTTGATCCAATGTTGCCTTTGCACGCTCCCAGCTCTCAAATGGATAAGCTATAAAATCAACAAACCACATAGCCACTGTGCTAGGCAGTCTTGAGAGACCTAATATCATTCAGCTCTTTGTAGGTTCTCTAACCAATTAATAATTGTTTGTCTTTTGGGTGCATCACGGTCCAACAATCCAGTGCCGTTGGCTTTGTCTGGTGATGAGGTCGGCAGCTGCGTTAGTATGCACCGTGGAAGGCAATCTTCTGGCTTCTTTGCTATGGGCAACCGAATAGTGATGTTACAATGACCTCTCATTTAAGAGGTAGCTTAAACTGACGCCTTTTGTTTATTCAGAAGGCGCAAGACGTATGAAATTGCTTGCAGCCGTGCAAAACATATTTTAGAAGATGCTAATGCTAGGATAAATACAACTGTTACAAAATGAACTAAGCTTCCCTGGCATGACTACTGGTACATTGTTGCAATGTCTGTCTGTAGTTAACTGCTAGCAGATCAGAAGGAACAAAGATGCCTGAAAAGCTCCCCCAAAAAATTCCTTTCTGGTTGCTCATTCAGATTTCCACTCTAATACAAAATCTTTTGTCAATAAATTACTCTTCCTACCTCTTACTAACTCTATTGTCTCTTGAACTAGCATCAGATTTCTACCCTTCAGAGGAAAAAAATTGTTCATTGTCCTAAACCCCAGTATGGTTCTTTGTGTCTGGTTTTCTTTGATTCTTTCTATTTCTTCAGCCCATAAGTTGTTTTCAAAAATCTGCTGAGCCTTCCTTGGCGTCATATTTTTCATACTTTGTGTCTTTGGCTTTTTTCTCATTTTTTGCTCCTGGTGCATTTATTATCATAAGTCAGCCATAAACTTAAAAATATGCTTCCCCCCCCCCACCCCCCATGTTTTACTCATGCTATTGATTTGGCTCATTCATCTTCACCTAACATATACTGCATTTTCCCCAACCTTGTCAGACTAAAACTCAGTGTACTGATATTTCTGATTTCACTTTAGCCATAATTACATAACTAGTTCTTTTTCAAGGATATGTATTTTTTTATCCCTAAATACCATCTCTAGCCATTATTCACGGCAACGGCAAAAACCATTCTTTGACTGCATCATCTTTTTCCTATTTATACAAGGAAAAAGCCTTTCTTATACCTTTCATTGATTATAGGGCTTTCCTTTGGGAATGTCAATGCAATGTAGAAGTATTAATTCTCCTGGTCTATAGCATTAGAGTTAAGTGGGAACCACATGGTATTATCCTCATTTTAGGATTGAGGAAAGGGGGAGACCTAACAAAGGCTGAATAATATGCCCAAAGTCACTCAGTGCTGTTTCTGGTGTAGCTAACAGGTTATTCATTCAACAAATATTTACTAAATTCACGTTGTTTATGAGACATTGTGTCAGATATTGTTGTGACTCAGATATATAAAATGCAGGTCTTATAGGGAGGTATAAAAAAAATCATGAAACAAGGAGAGTTTGATAA